TATTAAGGCGGATTTCCGATATTATCTTACTGATAAACTAATTAAACTAACTAATTAAAATGGTGAATTTAATTCTACTTATTGTTTTACCTCTTTTTGATAAAGTATGTTATGAAAGGCGTGTACACTAGTTATACTTACGGATGAGGCCATTGGGGCAGGTCACACATGGATTGTGAGTTCCATGAACGAATCCCAGCACAGCCAGCAGACAGAAAGCCAAAACCAAGACTTTAAAGGTACCCATTGCTAACGTACGTGAGCAAGTCAAGAGGACGTTGCAGAAAGTTGTCTCGCTCTTCAAAGACGTCAAGCCTATGCCTATTTATCTAAGTTGCCTTATTTATATACATGCACTTACAATGAGTTGGTCTTTTTATCAAAAAAAAGTATGCACCGCCTTGTCACAATTGTTCAATCGTTGACAAATTTTGTTTTCTTGCAAAACATGACGTGAACAGTGCAATATTGCCTGTGCCGTCATATTACAAGTTGGTACCTCACGCTGACTTATTCCTTTGTTTTGAAGTGATACGCTCACGCTTTGATGTGATGCATGCGAGAATCCCTGTTCACTTTTTTTTTAAATAATTAAACCAGGACGCATGAAACGTTTTATTCGCCCAAGAATTAAGCAAAAGGATCGCCTTTATAATAAACTTTTTTAAGCGGTTTCATAAGCCTGCTAGTTGATTACGCGGTTATGGTAACTAAATATCTTCTTCACATTGTACCAAGTTGTGAATGCAGCACATATAGGACGTTGTGAAAAAAAATGCACTTTAAACGGCAACTCCATTGGATTTTCCCGCCAAAAAAAGGATTTTCCCGGGAAAAATAAGCAATTTAATTTTCTTGTACTCACGAATCATTTATATCTACCCCACTCTGCACTTGAATTCGACCGTTAAATCAAGTTATAAAGGTTGATTTTGTTTGAAATGACTGACCAGACATTATAACCAGTGACCATCTTCTTATATGCTCCTATGTTAATGTCAACATCAAGTAATTAAGGGGTTAAAGCGTTTTAGGATGTATGCAAGGTTTTTTAAGAAGCTGTCGATGGCAAAAAATCATTTGGGGAATTTTCAAACCCACCATTAAAAACTGCTATGGTAATACTAGTGCATGTTGGTTGAGGGGCCTATGCCAAGTTTCTTAAATTATCCTGTACATTTCGAAAGGAATGTCACCGCCATCAAGTACTTTAATCTAAAGGGTTTTTTTTTTTTTCGTCTGAGGTGGGCAAGATAAGGTCTAATAATTGAGTAGGTTTGCAGGATATGTAGACATAGTACGTTTTCACACGCGTATAGTAAATCTATAAAAGAACTGAATGTTTACAAATCGTTCAGCATCTTTAAAGAAAACGTCTCGGAAGTATCATTTTTAGAAAATGATTGAAAGTAAAAAAAGCCCCTTTATTTTAGCGTGATTGATGTCAACAAGCGGTGCTTGGTGTTATCTTTTTTTATAATTTCTGTCCATTCATACCTGTCATGTGAAACAGCTGTGCTTTTGTTTGAACATGATCGCACTGGCATTCACAAGAAAAGTGTTCGCTGTGAGAAGTCATTGTTGATTTCATGAGTACCCAACATTTGCATGCAATACAGACAATGTTTTCGAGTGCTAAACAGCAATTCACTGTTGTTTTCAATATGAGATGAAATGCGCATACCTTTTGATTAATTGAAAGATGGATTAACTGGTACGTAAATATGCAGGTTTTGTAAGAATGGTCTTTTTGTTGGTGTAGTACGTAGATTGAATAACGTTGTATGATCTCTGATAAAATGTAATCCTTTGTGTGAACGTGCATAGAATTAATTCAACATAAAGACATTTTAAGTCCGTATTTTGACAGAAGAAATTATTTATTGACCAGCAAACTGAAAATACTCGGCCTCATTTACTTACTGTGCGTCTCTGTGAAGAACGTGTTTTGGACACCAATCTAACTGATATTTGAAAAAAAAACGGTAAAATATACAGAGAGCATGCAACCTTTCCTTGGTCATTCTTCTAGCCTTCTCCCCCTCCCCATCCCCCAACGATCTCATATAGATGTCCCTGTCACTTCATAAGACATGCCCGCTCCCCCAAAATAATGTCTCTATTTATTTCTACTTCAGTACTGCTGTGCAAAATATATCAGTTATCGCTAGCAGTCATTGCAGTGTTTTCATCGTGGAAGGTCTTATTGCCGAAAACTTACCTTATACTCCCTTTACACTGGACGGCGTCCTTTCTGCGACCATGAAATTTGGCATAGCTGTGGTCTTAAAAAGGAGGCACGAGCATTGATTTGGTATCAGAATGAATGCTCAATGATCGGCCAGTTGTCGGCACGTAAAGTATTATAATTTTTAAACTCTCAAATGGGGTCGTACTGCTGGACGCAGAAAGGACGCCGTCCAGTGTAAAGGGGGCTTTAGAGGCCATCCAAAACAAGTTGATCCGCGAAGTAACAGATCCGAGGACTAAATATGTCCGACTCACTTAAAAGCAGAGCCGACTAATCCCATGATGGCCTCCCCGCCTCCAAACGCGCCGTCGCTGCAGGGGCCTCGTAATTGAGCCTCAGAGCCGATATTTAATCCGTTAAATGGCGCGTGTGGAGACGGGGAAACCATCAGGGGATTAAACGGCGCTGATTTGACATGGGGTCGGCCATATTTAGTCGGAGGATCTTGAAAGGCCCAAATTTAAAAGTATTTCTAACCTTCGAAACTAATTAAAACACATCCATTCGCTTTACAGGTATATGGGGCAAAAGGCGGTTTTATTGAATTCGTTATTTATCCAATTCTTATGTTATTATTTTTTTATTTTCATTTTTATTTATTTATTTCATTATTCACATTTGCATTATGGAAGACTAGTATGGTATTCTGAAGTTGTTGTTTTTGTGTTTGTGTGTGTGTGTGTGTGTTTTACGTTCATTTACCACGTCAATTAAACAATCAAGGTGAGAGCGGAGAGTGCACACCCGTATAACAGGAACAGATGAGCACAAGTTCAAACACTCAAGGCTGATTTTCAATGCAACAGCTCAGACATGACACAACAATGCGATGCTGGTACCCCGGCACCGTACTCACTACCTTCCTTTAATTTCAGCACAGTGGGCATGATGTCTACTTTTTGAAAAATAATTTTCAAACCACCAGAAGGGGGACTCTGTTTCCTCGGCAATAATAATAATAATAATAATAATAATAATAATAATAATAATAACATGACTATATTATTTCAACACATGCATTGAATTCAATTAAGTTGCCCCTTAAAAGGAAAAGGATTCGAATTTGTATTCCGCAGTAAAAAAAAAACTAAAATAAAAGCTGTTTATCAGTGCAGACTATCGTTACAGATAGCAATTAGCCTACAAGTGAATAATTGTTTCCCTTTTTCCTTTTGAAAGTTACAGGGTTACAGTAGTAGCGACACAGGAGACAAATAAGAGTTTGTGCTGAAAAGGACACTGCACTCCTAAAGATTTGAAAAAAAAGCATCATATTCATATTTTAGTATCTGATCAAGTCAACTATCTAGACGATAGCGTGTTAAGACGACATTTCGGTGAGACAAAAATCAGGGGCGGCGACGTGTGTCAAAATCTAGGAACCAGCCTGTATTTCAGCGGATCCTCAGTAGAGCGACACCGTGATGTTAGCGCGCTGTAAACAAGGCTCGGGTGGTTGAGTCAAAATTGGAAAATAATTTCATGAGGTCCGTTATGCAGTCCTTTACCAGGGTAGTTGTCAATTTCAAATTCTTTTTCTGGAGAAGTTTACCTTTCATCCCCTTAATAGACACACCTCGAGAAATGCATAGAGATTAGATCACATCTTGACTCAGAGCCGATCTTTACTGACCATTTGGACGGCTCTTTTCGACTCCCTCCCCCCACCTTCCCCGCCTGGGGGCCCAAATAATATTAATTATTACGAAGTGTTTTTTTTTTTTTTTTAGTCAACAGTTAGTCTATACCGAGTTTGTTAACTGCTGATTGAAGAAAAATACCAAGATGTCATTAACAGAAGTATCAAACCCTCATGGTCAATCAGAAAGAAAATTGTAGTGACCAGATGTAGCCAAAGAGACGTAGATCTTATCCCAAGTTTGACTCGTGCTTGGAATAATTCTGTTCACATTAAATTTCCGAGTCTTCCAATTTGAGGTCCATTAAAGGATAAAACAGTTAATTCCTGGCTTAACTCAGAAAATTGGTCTTACAAGGAATTTACATTGAGGGCAAGTCAAGGTCAAGAAGCATAAAGTTCAGGCGATCAAAATCTTGTTAAGTCGTTTTTCTTTTCAGCGAAGCCATTTAACTAAAGGTGGAACACAAAAAAATATTATTTTGATAGAAATATGTTTATATACACAAAGAACATTTCAACAATTTCATTTATATAAATTGGGTGCAAAACCACGTGTTATTATTACCTTATTTATATCACATTTTTAAACAATATTCAAATTAATAAATATAAAATTATTCCATTTTTGAATAAAATACTTTATTTGCCAATTTAGCTGCCAGTGGTCAACTAACTGACAACTTTACAGTTTACATAATTACATATTAATAATATACAGATTAATGTTTTAGAATTCATTCTGTAAGACAAGAAGTTATTCAAATATGGCACTAGTAAAGAATAATTATTAAAATGTCCAGGCACCTATAAATTTTGCAATA